GCTCTGAGCCATCAGCCCAGAGCCTGACGCGGGGCTCGAACTCATGGACCGCGAGATCGTGACCTGGCTGAAGTCGGACGCTTAACCGACTGCGCCACCCAGGCGCCCTGGATTGCTATTCTTTCCGCTTATGACCGCCTTTGCTGCATCCCAGAGGTTTTGGGTTGTGGTGTTATCATTTTCATTGGCTTCCATATACTTCTTAATTTCCTCTTTAACTTCTTGGTTAGCCCATTAATTCTTTAGTAGGATGTTCTTCAGTCTCCAAGTATTTGTTATCTTTCCAAATTTTTTCTTGTGGTTGATTTCGAGGTTCATAGCGCTGTGGTCTGAAAATATGCACAGTATGGTCTCGATTTTTGCACAGTCTTTTTATCTAACTGTGCATTTCCTCCACGTGATCTTTGCAGTACAATATGGAAAATATGGGGCTGTGTGAAAGAGTGAGTGTGGGCTTTGAAATCAGGCAGAGTTGGATTCAAATCTGGGTTCTTTGCTTAGTGGCTTCGTGACCTTGAGTCAGACCTGAGTCTCTCCCTCCCTCTGTTGTCTTATCTGGAAGATGGAGCGGATATATGCAAGGCAGTGGAAGATATTGTGGAGAGCATGAGGGTCAGTGTCCCTGCTCCCGTGATGTAATGTGTGCAGACTGCCCTTGCCCAGCACTGTAGAGCTTCATAGGTGCTGAATTCATTGAGCCTTTTATGGGTGTGTCTTGTAGTTCTAAGTGTCATGGCTACTGAAACAGGATCGGTTGTAACCAAATAGTGGTTCAATTATATGGACAGTAACTAGAGGGACTAGTGTACGGTAGGTATGTTTTTGACACTGTTAAAAAATGCATATTTTCATTGTGCTGAGGGATTTAGCACCTTGAAATATAACAGCCATGTTTTTTAATGTATGTCGAATACTGATGTAAGGAGGCTTATTTTTTCTTGGAGATTTTTCTTGAAATCTTGGGTTTTAAAAGTGATTTTTTTAAGCATACATGGACATAATATAAATGGTGAATATTACTGATCTTTCTTTCATGTACCCACCTGTAGTTTCCAAAGTGCTTCGTTCTGAGTTACTCAAACCTTTGCTTGGATTGTTGATTGCATTATCTACCCCAGTCCATTTCAGACTCCATGCAGTTTGGGCCTCTGTTTTTTCCTTTGGTTTCTCATTGCGTAGGGCAAAGTCAACATAGTTTTGAACTTGGAAAGAGGAAGAGGATGGTAAAGTGATCTTCCTCTTAACAAGAGGACCATATTGTAGAAGTTAAATTGTTAATTGGCTCTGGTGCCAAGCTGCCTGGGTTCACCTCTGGCTCTGTGATGTACCCGTGGTATGACCCCACGCAAGTTACTTACTCTTCCACTTCCTCAGTTTCCTCATTTGTAAAGTGAATGGATAGTGTGAAGATTAAACGGGTTAGTTGGATGACATGTTCCGAACGGTGCCCAGGATGTGGTAGTTGTTACGTACGTTTGCTGTTTTCACCACTGCTTCTGCCCCAGCATTGGAGTCACCTACTTGTTACCGTATCCACATCTCATTTCCTCTCTTTACTGCCCCTCTGACCCATCATCCTCACTCCTAGCCTGAATTGTCCAGAAAAACCCCAAGAATTTGGTATCTTCTGACATGTATTGGATCTACTTTACGTCTTACCCATGGGCCATGACCCACTGTTATCACCCAGGTACCCCTTTGTTTCCACATGGTGGTGAGATAGGTGAAGGGGGAGGATTGATGGTGAGGTGAGAAGGAAAATCCATGCAGTTTGATGGAAAGTTGTGGTTACAGATGAGTTTTTTTATACTTAGAGCTGAATCCTGGGGATGAAGTATAGGTCATAGAAAGGAGCAATTTTTTCTTAACCTCTTGTCTCTTTGTCATGGCTACTAATTGTAAAAACTAGAAAACCTCAAAAAAGCCACATATTTATTTTAGGGACATCAGAGAAGAAAAACCATGGAACTCATTTTTTTTTTGGGACAGAGAGAGACAGAGCATGAACGGGCGAGGGGCAGAGAGAGAGGGAGACACAGAATCGGAAACAGGCTCCAGGCTCTGAGCCATCAGCCCAGAGCCCGACGCGGGGATCGAACTCACTCAGGGACCGCGAGATCGTGACCTGGCTGAAGTCGGACGCTTAACCGACTGCGCCACCCAGGCGCCCCGGAACTCATTTTTTATCTCTGAAATCCAGAGGAATGGAGCTCTCCTCTGGGAGCCAATGTCAGTGACTTGCAGCTGAATTGAGCTTTTTTTGTCCTCTTTCTTTCTTTCCTTCTTCTTCTTCTTCTTCTTCTTCTTCTTCTTCTTCTTCTTCTTCTTCTTCTTCTTCTTTTTTTAAA